ACGCCCCCTAAAAAGAAAAAATCCTAAAAAAAAAAAAAAAAAAAGAAAAGAAAAACACACTAGGTACATGAGTGTTGTGTGCCCAAAATCTGAGAGAGAGAAATGGAGGGGAAGGTTGTAACGTAGCTGTTCTCATGGAGGGTGTTCTCGCTTTCCTTCACTCCCTGGTGAGTGTCCTCTGGCAGTTTTTTCTTCTTAAAAGCATTTTCTTTTGAGAGTTATTTAATTTTATTTCTTTTAATTTCACCAAAGAGGGACAGAGTGAGTGAGACACAGAAAGTAGGGAAGCAAGCTGCCAGGTCCAGGACTTGAACTGCGGCTGGCCATGGAGGAACCCAGCCCTCTTCACCACGCCACCTGTAGACCCCCTCCTTTTTTTTTTTTTTTTTTTTTTAAAAGAAAAAAAAGAAGGGAGAAGCCGCAGGTGTCGCAGGTGGCATAATGGTTACATTGCTTAACTCCCACATGGCTGACTGCAGTTCAAGTCCCAGAACCAGTGGCCTGAAACTCACACTGGGCATGTGTTCATGCATGCCCAAGATCCTGGGAGAAGGGAGGAGGGACTGTGGTGTGGCCATCCACCCTGTGGGGCATTGTCTGTCTTTGAGCACATGTGCCCTGTAGTAAAAACTCTTAAAAAACAAAAACAAAACCCAGGGGCCGGCAGGTGGCATGGTGGTTAAGAGTGCTAGACTCCCACATGGCCGACCATGGTTCGAGTCCTGGACCTGGTGGCTTGCTTTCTCACTTTCTCTCTCTCTCTTGCTCTGTTGCTCTTTGGTCAAATTAAAATAAATATTTTCTTAAAAAAGAAGGAAAAAGGGGCCGATAGGTGGCGTGGATAAGGGTGCCAGATCTCTCATGGATAGCATTACAGTTTGAGTCCTCTGGGCGTGTATACATGCATGCTCAAAAATCCCCAGAGAGTGGAGGATAAGGGGCTGGACCGTGGCATGATCATCGTCTTTGGGGGATGGGATGATTTCTGTTGAATGCCACTGGCTCCGGGACTCAAACCGCGGTCTCTTGAATGCAAACACCTTACAGCAAAAAAAAAAAAAAAAAAGAAGGCACCCCCTCACCCAACACAACCAGCAAGCATCCCTCTTGGGCTGTGCTGTGAATGAGTCCCAGCAGGTGTGGCATTCGTGCAGGGCCTGTGTGACTCCCCGCCCCATCCACATCAACATCCACACTGCTTTAAGATCATTTTATTGAGGAGTAAGAGGCGGGGAGAGGAGGGGGGGCAACTACAGTACCCCCAGCCCCACCAGGGGGAACAGAATCCCCTCCCCGCCTCCCACCCCCCCCAAGTGGCTCCCCCTGTACTGTGGGGGGAGTGTGTGCAAACTCTGCCCCGGAGCGGGGGGGAGGGAGGTGAAGGGTGGGTTTGAAATGGCGGCGACCGGGCCTGGTGGAGGTGCTACTGGGCGCTGGGGGGCTTGTAGGGCTCCAGGAGGAGGGCAGAGAAGGTGTTGACCTTGTCTGCCCCCCGCACCTCGTGGGGTAACAGCGGCAGCTTCACGATGTGGAAGTCTTCATACAGGTCCTCCATCTGGAGCCAGGGCAGAGGGCAAAGGGCAGAGGTCAGAGACTAGGAGTGGGTTGACAGAAGGGGCTGGGCTGGGGGAACTTTCCAGGATCAGGGAAAGAATACAGGGAGAGGGCCCTAAGGAGTCTCAAGTGGGAGTAGGTCCATTAAGATAAGCGATCACAGGGGGACCAGCAGGTGGCGTCATGGCTACGTCGCTGGACTCCCACATAGTTGACCGTGGTTCGAGTCCTGGACCCGGTGGCTTACTCAGGCCGGGTGCGTGTGTGTGCCCAAGATCCGGGAAGAGAAAGGAGGAGAAGGGATTGCAGCATGGTCATCCCCCCTGGGGGTGATTTCTCGCTTTCTGTCTGTTTCTCTTTGTCTTTCTGGTGAGTGCATGTACCCTATAGCAAAAAAAAAAAAAAAAATCTCAAAAAAAAAAAGATAAGAGATCACGGGACCAGCAGGTGGTGTGGTGGTTAAGGCGCTGGACTGCCACATGGCCAACGGTGGTTCAAATCCTGGACCCGGTGGCTTGTTTTCTCCCTTTCTGTCTCTCTCTGGTGAGTGCACATAACCTACAGAAAATTAAAAAATAATGATGGCACCGCCAGGTGGCATGGTGGTTAAGGCACTGGACTTCCACATGGTCAACCGAGGTTTAAGTCCCAGACCTGGTGGCTTGGTTTTCTTGCCTTTTTTAAGATTTATTAAATTTTTAAAAAAGAGTTCTTTTATTTAACTTTATTTATTTATTAATTTTGACCATAGAGAAAGAGAAAGCAAGAAAGCAAGCTGCCAGGTCTGAGACTCAAACCGCGGTTGGCCATGTGGGAATTCAGAACCCTTAACCACCGCAACACGTGCCAGCACCTAATTTATTAATTAAAAAAAAATATATATTAATTTTTGGGGGACGGCAGGTGGCATGGTAGTTAAGAGCACTGGACTCCCACATGGTCGACCGCGGATCAAGTCCCAGACCTGACAGCTTGCTTTCTCACTCTCTTTCTCTCTCTCACTCTGTCCCTCTCTGGTCAAATTTAAGTCAATCAATCAATTAATTAATTTAGTTAATTAAGCTTAATCAAATAATAATTTAAACAACTATTCATGTTTTAATTTAACTTCATTTATTTATTTATTTTAACTTGACCAGTGAGGGGCAGATTTAGAGAGAGAGCGAGAGAGAGAGAGAGAAAGAGAAAGAGAAAGCAAGCCGCCAGGCCTGGGACTCAAACTACAGTCTGTCATGTGGGAGTCCAGTGCCTTTAACTACCACGCCACCTGCTGATCCCAGCTTGCTTTCCTTACTTTCCTTTTTTTTTCTCTCTCTCTCTCTGGTTAAAGTAAAATAATAATAATAGTAATAATAATAATAGGGACCAGCAGGTGTAGTGCTTCAGGTGCTGGACTTCCATATGGTCGACTATGGTTCAAGTCCCAGAACGGCAGCGTAAAACTCATACCGGGCACGTGTACACGCGTGCCCAAAATCCCGAGAGGAGAATGGAGAAGGGACTGTGGCATGGCCGTCTCCTCTGGGGGTGAGTTCTCACTTTCTGTCTCTCTGTCTCTCTGGCAAGCATGTACAATCTATAGCAAAAATCTCTCGACAACAAAAAAAAATCCAAAACAAAAACAATAAAACAAGAGACCAGCAGATGGCGTAGTGGCTACATGGCTGGACTCCTCCCTAGCCGACCAGGGTTTGAGTCTTGGACTCCGCAGCTTAAAACTTCTGCCAAGCACGTTTGTAGGGGTGCCCAAAATCCTCAGAGGAGAGTGGAGAAGGGATTGCAGCTTGGCCATCTCCCCTGGGGGGGGAGGGTGTGATAATTTCTCTTTCTCGCTGTTTTGTTTTTTTTTTGGAGAGGTTTTTACTATAGGGAGTGTGTAAAAGCCAGAAAGACAGAGACAGAGAATGTGAGAAATCACCCCCCGGGGGGGATGGTCACGCCGCAATCCCTTCTCCTCCATTCTCCTCTCGGGATCTCGGGCACGCACGCACACGCGCCCGGCGTGAGTTTAAGCCACCAGGTCCGGGACTTGAACTGCTGTCAACTACATAGGAGTCCAGTGCCATAACCATTATGCCACCTGCTGGTCCCGGGGTGATGACTTCTAACCTTCTGCGTCTCTGTTTCTCTGGCAAGTGCACGCACTCTTTAGCAAAAATCTGTCTAGATAAAAACCCCAAAATACTGAACAAAAAAATGAAATGAATATTATTTTAAAGTAATAATTATAATAGGGTCCAGCAGATGGCATAGCTGTTACGTTGCTGGACTCCCACATGGCTGACTGTGGTTCAAGTCCCAGAAGCAGCGGCTTGAAACTCACGCCGGGCGCGTCTGCATGCCTGCCCAAGATCCCAGGAGAAGAATGGAGGAGAAGGGATTGCGGCGTGGCCACCTCCCCTGGGTGGGAGAGGGTGATTTCTCTTTCCTTCTACTGTCTCTCTCTTTCCAGCGAGCCATGCACCCTATGGCAAAAACCTCTAAAAAAAATTAATAACAGAAAAATAAATAAATAAATAAAAATTAAACAATTCTATTTAAAAATATATATAGGGGTTGGCAAGTGGCATGGTGGCTAAGGGCGCTGAACTCCCACATGGCCGACCGTGGTTTGAGTCCTGGACCTGGTGGCTGGCTTTCTCACTATCCCTCTCTCTGTCTCTCTCTCTCTGTTCCTCTGTGGTCAAATTGGAATGGATCAATAAATAAAGTTAAACAATTCTCTGAAAAACAAAAATATCAGAGATCACCAGGCTGGACCTTCTCTCTCCAGGGCCACCGGTCCCCAGGCCAGGCCAGGCCAGGCCAGGCCAGGCCAGTCCTAGTCCTCCCGGGTCAGAATGAGGGTGAAGGATCTGAAGCAGGCGTGAAGAGCAGGAGGGGTCTGAAGGTGGGACAAGCGGTCAGAGTCCCGCAGAGGGGGCCCGGGGCCAGGACGGGCCCGTGCAGGGCAGGGGCGCACCTGGTCCAGGTACTTGGCCTGGATCTTGTGACGGGCCTCACACATCTTGCAGGGCTTCTCGGGGTCGGGGAAGACAAGCTGGTTGACGATGATGTTGTGGGTGTCGATCTTGCATTTGGCCAGTTCCTGGATGAGCCGCTCCGTCTCGTAGAGCGATAGGAACTCGGCGATACACACGCAGATGAAGGTCGTCTGTTCCTGCGGGCGAAGGAGGACGGTGAGGGGGCGTGTCCCTGCGTCCTTGCGCCCCGCACCCCCCACCAGACCCCGACTCACGGGATCCTTGAACTGCTCGCTGACGGAGCGGATGACAGGCAGGGTCTCCTCCAGTTTGGAGGCCAGCTGGTCTGCGTTCATGTCTCCGAGGCCCAGCATGTTACACATCTGTGTGGGGGACATGGCCGGCTCACAGCTTCCCTGGGGCCCCTGGAACCCCCTGGTGACGAGCGCTCAGGGGACTAACGACACAGCCCAGGGGTTAAAGGTGTGAGCCCTTGAGCTGACTCTGGGTGTCCGTCTAATCCCAGTTCTGCTCTAAGGACCCGCAGCCCAGGGGGTCAACCTCCTGGAGCCTCGGTTCCCCCATCTGTAAAGCGTGCCTCCCAGAGCCACTGCCTGAGATGAGCTGGTGCCTGTCACACGCCTGGTGTTTGCTGTCACACGCCATGGCAGGTGGTGCCGTGAAGCGAGGGGCTTTAGGGCTGTCTCAATAGTAACAATCCTAGGGACCAGCACTTGGCATAATGGCTATGTCGCTGGACTCCCATGTAGTCAACTGCGGTTCAAGTCCTGGACCCGGTGGCTTAAAATTCACGCCGGGCGCGTGTGCGTGCGTGCCCAAGATCCCGAGAGGAGAATGGAGGAGAAGGGATTGCGGCGTGGCCATGGCCCCCGGAGGTAATTTCTCGCTTCCGACTTCCTTTACAACCCACCTACGTACGTGCCGAGTGGACAGACACACAGACACAGACACCTTCCAGATCCCTCTGCTGACTTCTTGCAGACGCCTCAGGCCCGAAAACCGAGGATAATGCGGCCTTGAGCCACAAAACGCTCTTCTCTGCTGTGACTAGACCAAGGACAGCCAGACACCCTTGAGTCGGGGAGCCCTGGGGTCTGCGGCACCCCTTCTCATTTGCCCGGAATGGTCCCTGCACCCCGCTGGCCTGAGCAGTCGGGTCGGGGAGGTGGGAGGCGGGCTTACCTGTCTCCTGATGCCGGGGGACTGTGCGGGTGCATTCTCCTCAAACTTGGCGAGCAGCTGGGTGGCCATGTGCTTCACCTTGTTCTGGTTGCCGAGGGCGATGTCCATCCTCCTGTCTGTCAGGGTGCTCACCAGGGTGGGCCTCTCTCCTCTGCAGCCCCGGGGCACCTCCTCCTGATGAACACCCATCACCTCAGAACCGACTTACAGGGGGCCCTACTGACACTCTGCCCTCGAAGGAAACCCTCACGGGCACCCACCCAGCACCTAGCAGTTCTGCTACAGGCTAAGGTGCCGGGTTCTAATCTCCCGAAGAAGTCAGCAAGGCTTCGGTGCCCAGCTCATCCTGGTAACGTCACATGCCAGGAAGGCCACCCCCTCGGCCAATGTGCTTCCCTCAGACAGGAAGGCCCACATGCACATGTCTCCACTGCTCGGTGCGCTCCAGAAAGTTACACGATGGCCAAACCCCAGAGAGTGTCTGCCCATGGAGATGACCGTCAAGGGAGAACGTGAAAGATTTAATAGTACCAACTTGGAAACAGAATTTAAATAAAAAAGGGGTGGGCTGGCCTGTGGTGCAGTGGTTAAGGCAGCTGGTCTCACACAGCTGACTGTGTGGACCCAACACCCCTTCCTCCACCCCTCCACCTCTCTCTCCAAGTACACACACCCTCTACTAATTTTTTTTTTTTTAAAGGAAGGACCAGCAGATGGCATAATAGTTATGTCTCTGAACTCCCACATAGTGGACCATGGTTCAAGTCCTGACCCGGTGGCCTAAAACTCATGCTGGGTATGTGTATTTGCGTGCACAAAATCCCAAGAAGAGAATGGAGGAGAAGAGAAGGGATTGCGGTGTGGCCATCGCCCCTCTGGGGGGTAATTTCTCGCTTTCTGTCTCTCTGGCGAGCACATGTGCCCTGCAGCAAAAACCTCTCAGAAAACACAAATAAAATAAAATAAATAAAAAAAAATAAGAAATAACCCTACGGGCACTAACATGATCGCCACTTGACAGACAAGGAAGGTGAGGCCCAGAGAGGTGACATGACTTGCCCTCGGTCACAGCGAGTGGAGAGGATTTGAAGGAGGCCCCCTGGCTGGGCAAGGTGTGCGTTCAGGCTCTGCCAGGGTGCTTAGTTGGCAGGGCGGTGGGGTGGAGGCGACGGTGCCGTCCAACCCCCTAGTGCAGAGCCGTCCCACCCCGCGGGAAGCCCTGCGGGAGAAGGGGTGTGCGGGGAGTCTGGGGCCCCGCCTGCCTGTGAGATGAAGGGACTGATCTGGTTCTTGATCTGCATGAGCCGGCCCAGGCCCCGCTCCACGATGGTGGGGAAGTTGAGCAGCCTCAGCGTGTGGCCTGTGGGCGCCGTGTCGAACACCACCACCGAGAAGTTCATGCCCTTCACCAGCCTGCGGGGAGACGGTGCTGGGGTCAGGCCTGCCCACTCCGCGGCCCCCGCAGCCCCCGCCCTGCTGGCCGGGCCTGACCTCATGACCTCGGCGTAGCTCATGGCCTCGTCGATGCCGGGGAAGGCACTCATGGCCTCCTGCATCATCTTCTTGCCCACACTCAGCATGCTGTCCTCCTCGAAGAACTCATCCGGCAGCTCCGCCACGCCCAGGCTGGGGTCGATCTCCTGAGGGGGCGAGAGCAGGGGGCTCGGGCAGCTGTCGGGGACCTTCCCACTGGACACAGGCCTGGAGCGAGCTAGCGGGGGGCTCCGACCACAGGCCCTCCCTGAGGTCCCAGCTGGAGACCCTGACATGGCACCTCCTACCTCTGGGGCTAATTGAGATATATATATATAATATACAGAGAGACAGAAAGCGAGAAATCACCCCCAGGGGGGGATGGCCACACCACAATCCCTTCTCCTCCATTCTCCTCTTGGGATCTCGGGCACGCACGCACACGCGCCCGGCGTGAGTTTAAGCCACCGGGTCCAGGACTCGAATGGTGGTTGACTACTTGGGAGCCCAGTGACGTAGCCATTATGCTATCTGCTGGTTCCAGTTTGTTTTTTTTTCCCCAGAGATTTTTGCCATGGGGCACATGTGCTCGCTGGAGAGAGACAGAGACAGAAAGTGAGAAATCACCTTCCAAGGGCATGGCCACGCTACAATCCCTTCTCCTCTCGGGATTTTGGGCACACATGCACATGTGCCTGGTGTGGGTTTCAAGGTGCCGAGTTCAGGACTCAAACTGAGGTCGACTGTGTGGGAGTCCAGTGATGTAACCATTATACCATCTGCGGGTCCCAATAAATTTTTTAGCCACATGCAGTGGCCAGAAGAAGACACAGAGACAGGAAAAGTGAGAAGTCACCCCCACAGGAGGGAAGGCCATGCCGCAATCCCTTCTCCCCCATTCTCCTTATGGAATTTTTTTTTTTTGGGAGAGGTTTTCGCTATAGGGCGCGTGCGCTTGCCAGACAGACAGAGAGAGACAGAGAGACAGAAAGCGAGAAATCACCCCCCAGGGGGGATGGTCACGCCACAATCCCTTCTCCTCCATTCTCCTCTCGGGATCTTGGGCACGTACGCACACGTGCCCGGTGTGAGTTCCAAGCCACCGGGTCCAGGACGCGAACCACAGTCGACTACGTGGGAGTCCAGGGACATAGCCATTATGCTAACTGCTGGTTCCCTGGAATTTTAGAAGTACATGTGTGTACACACACACACACACACACACACACACACACAACATAAACATACTTGGGTTCCCAAAAAAAAAAATCCTTGGGTTTTTTTTTTTTTTTTAGAGAGATTTTTGCTCTAGGGCGCATGTACTGGCTGGAGAGACAGAGAGAGACAAAGAGACAACAAGTGAGAAACCACCCCCAAGGGGGGATGGCCATGCCGCAATCCCTTCTCCTCCATTCTCCTCTCAGGATCTTGGGTGTGAGTTTTAAGCCACCAGGTCCTGGACTCGAACTGCATTTCAGTCAGCTATGTGGAAGTCTAGCAATATAACCATTACACTATCGGTTGGCTCCCCTGACATATTTTTTAAGTTGCTGGATACAGGACTCGAACCATGGAGTCAGCCTTCTGGGACCCAGCACCTTAACCTCCATATCGCCTGGTGGTCTTTTTTTTATTTTGATTGTAAGATGGTACATACACTTGCCAGAGACATAGACAAGGAGGGAGAGGAGTTACCCAATGGGGCCTGGTCACTCTGCAATCCCTTCTTCACTATCTCTTTTGCTTCCAGAATTTGGGGCATACCTGCACACCCTCCTGGAGTGTTCTTCAAGCTGCTGGGTGCAGGAATCGAACTGTGGGATCACTCATGTGAGATCCAGGTCCCTTCACCACTAGGCCAGAGGGCTGGCCCTTGTGCCTCAGTTACTCTAAACCTCTTCGGACCACTTTATTCCCACAATCCTGTCTCCTATTCACCATCTATGTTCCTTTGTCAGCACCCTTACTCAGCCCAAGGTCCATAGTTGTCAAATTATGTTACCCGCTTATAATGTTCCAGAGGGTCCAGCAGTCACCGAGAGAGACAGAGAGAGAGGGAGAAGAGAAGAAGAGAAGGCATCATCTTTTTTTTCTTTTTATAGAGAGGTCTTTTCTTATTGGGCACGTGCGCTCACCAGAAAGACGGAGAGAGACAGAGAGACAGAAAGCGAGAAATCACCTCCTGAGAAGGGATGGCCACACCGCAATCCCTTCTCCTCCATTCTCCTCTCAGGATCTTGGGCGCACACGCACACGCGCCCAGCGTGAGTTTAAGCCACCGCGTCCGGCACTCGAACCACGGTCAACTACATGGGAGTCCAGCGACATAGCCACTATGCTAACTGCTGGTGCCAAGGCAACATCTTTGATTCAGGCTTGCTGAGCCAAGGGGTGGATCGTGCTGTGAAGACTCTGTTATGGGGTGCCTGTCTCTCTTTCTCTTATGGAATCAATCAATAAACAAAAATTGAATAGCTTCATATTAAACACAGCATCAAAGCTAAACTCCAGAGGCCAGCAGGGGAAGTGGTGATTAAGATAGCTGGATTCCCATATAGCTGACTGCCGTTCAAATCCCGGACCTGGTTGCTTGAAAATCACACCAGGTGCATGAATGTGGGTGCCCCAAATCCCAGGAGGTGAAGGAATTGTGGTGTGGCTATCCCGCCTGGGGGGGGGGGGGGGTCTCTCTCCTCTCTGCTAAATGCAAGCACCCTACAGCAAAAACCCAAAAGAAAGAAAGAAACGTCAAACTGCATTGGTCTGCAAGGCTCAGGTGGCTCTGACTGGCATGTCCAACCTCGCCTTCCCCCCTACCCTAGCTCACTAAGGTCCGTGGACCGTGGCTTCCTTCTTGGTCCCCAAACTCACTCGTTGCCCCTGTGGATATGCTGAGGAAGGGGTGCAACAGCAGAGACAAAGGATGTGGAATGGAGGCTGATGGATATGCACAAGGCGTGCTGTGATCTGTCGGAGGCCGGGAGCTGAACCCTGCCGCACTCACCATAGCGAAGAGGTTGTCATAGCCTTTGACCTTGGTCGGCACCTTGGAGAACTTCTGGTCAAATGCATCTGAAATATTGTGGGCTGGGTCTGTGGAAATGATCAGAACACTCTCACGCCCCTTGGAGAGCTGGACTGCTAGGCTGCAGCTGAACAAAGGAAAGAATGTCGCTGGTCTCCCATGTAGCCGAATGCGGTTCGAGTCCCGGACCCAGTGGCTTAAACTCATACTGGGCGCGTATGTGTGTGTTCCCAAGATCCCGAGAGGAGAATGGAGGAGAAGGGATTGCGGCGTGGCCATCTCCCGTGGGGGTGATTTCTTGCTTTCTGTCTCTCTGTCTCTGTCTGTCTGTCTGGTGAGCACACGCGCCCTATAGCAAAAACCTCTGAAAAAAAAAATTCATGCCCAAAATCCCCAGAGGAGAATGGAGTAGAAGTGACAGTAGTGTGTTCATCCTCTTGGAGGATGATTTCTCACCTTCCCCCTCTCTCTCTGGGTCAGTCTCTCTCTAGCGCATGAACAACAACAAAAGAATGAAAAAAAGATGAGGAGGAACTCTTCTGCTTCCTCATCTGCAAGGGGAGATGTGGGTCCCAGAAGCAGGGACTTGGATGAGCCGGCATCTTAACAACAGAGTATGGGTCACTCTCATCTCAGGGGTGGGACCAGCTTCATCCCTGCAGCGGGTCCCTCCCTCCCTTGGTTCACTTAGTGACCCCTCTACCTGGACTAGAGGATTCAGCGGACCGAGTTGGTCTGGACTATTGCACAGAGAGGGAGGGTCCAGCTGTCGAAGGGGCATGGTCTCACTCTGTGCTCCCACCGTCAACTCTGAGCTCAGGGGTCCCTAACCTTCCATGCTAAACTCAGGACGGTTCCGTTCACTTGTCCCGCATAATCTGCCGCAGGGAGCCCTCCCTCGCCTCCCAGTGGACTAGGACTGTGTGACGACATCTCCTCCCCTTTGCCTTCCAGTCCCACCCCCGCTCTGGGCACAAAATGGCAAGGTTCATGAGAGTAGGAGAGCTTGCCCTGGTGCCTGTCCCCACTCCCGGAGCTCACGCCGTACGGTCCAGGTGGTTGGGACATTGAAGCGCTGGCTCTCCCCGTCCCCCACCCTCCCGCGCTGGGTTGACTGTGGCTTGGCACTTGAGCTCCAAGAAAAACGATCCAACACAGAGGGTCCCAGGCCTGCATTCAAGAGGTCTCTTCCATTTCCTCCCGGTAACTGCCAGAGATTACAAGCCAAAAGACCCAGCCAGAGCGCCCCAATCCGAGTCAGGGTAGATCACGGACCTCGATCTCCCCTTCATCCAGTGGTACCTCCCACCTGCCTTCCCGGCCCCTGCGGCAGCTTCCCTACCTGCAGGTGGTCTTGCCCACGCCACCCTTGCCCCCGACGAAGATCCACTTGAGGCTGCGCTGCTCGATGATGTTGCTAAGCGTGGGCTCTAGCGGCTCCACATCAGGTGCATCCTCGAACTCGTCTGCCTCAACCCCCCACCCGGCCACCCCCGCCGCCATCTTGGAATCGGATCACGTGATCCGGCGGAGCGCACCATGCAAAGAACCTACAGGGGAAATTCCCTATCCACATCCCTACGGAAGTTAGGATCTTCCATCATTTTCCTCACGGCCTGTCTTGTAGGCGCTAACAAGAGCTCTGTTTTTAATATTCTTCGCTTCCGGAGTCCACCTCCTCGAGCTCTTGTCTATATTTTCCCAAAGAATCCCCCTGCGTAATGAATATATTGGTATGGTCCAGGATACTCCCCTCCACTGATTGGACGCTACGTCTGCAGCCCTCCTCTCATTGGTTAAATCTTTCCTTCCTTCCACCAGTCACTCTCAGGCCTCTGTAGCCGCGAACCTCTCCTTAGCAACCAGCCAAACACCCGGTCTCTGTCACCCCGTGGAGGTCGGCCCTGATCCGACTCAATAGGCTCAACTTCGCGTCGATCATTTCCCCCAGTTCTCCAAGATGGGTTCCGTCATTGCCTCAGGGCCACCCTCTCTGTTATGCAATTGGCTGTGCGCCATTTGGTTCCTGCCTCAAACCAATCACAGACAATCGATTACATGCAAGACTTGATTAGTTGGTTAAATACTTGCTGCTGGCAGGTCAGATGGAAGTTGACCTGGTGCCAGTCGTGTGTAAGGGTCCTTCGACTCTTGGCGGGTGCGCCTTGAATTCTCATGCTGGGCAGGAGCCATCCCTGCAACCTGCGCTCCTTGTCAAAGGGACCTGAATTCCCCAACAGCTGCTTGCACTTGGCTCCAGTTCAGTGAATTCCTAGGGGCTCACGGTTTGGTAGGGATCCCCGTCCAGAACAACCCCCTTTTTATTCATGATGGAGTGCATAGAAGAGAGAGAGATGAGCACCCCCCGCAGGGTCAGATCTCACTGCGATCGCTTTCCATCAGTCCTCCAGCGCATGAGATCTTGGGAATACAAGGGCGTGCACGTGTCTGGCGTGTTCCACGTGCAGCTGGGGATTCAAACCGTGGTCAAATCTGTGAAATTTGCCCTTTCCTGTAACAGCGCATTACTATTATGGCACAAAGCCGGCCAGTCTAGAACACTCTTAATTTCAGGTGGGAACTCCAGCCTAGAAACACCCGTTTCTGTGCCTCCTGTACCCCATATAACAACTTTATCTTCAGTCGGTGACCCCAGCTTCACAGAGCCAGCCAACTGTAATCTCATTCCCAGATGCTAGTTTAATCCCAAAGACAGGTACGCATCCCTCCGATTCTTCCCCCATTTCTAGTTGGAACGTTCAGGCTAGATATACCCTCTAGATTTAATTAGAGATGGAAATTCCCAGGCGTCCATTAAGCGCACAGCCCCAAAGGGGGTTCGTCCCGTCACAAAAAGTATTGCTGGTGCCCGACGGAAATTCTAACCCTAGAAAGCTAATGCACCCTTAACCCCAAGAGGAAACCAGTCTCTAACAACGGTCCCATTCCGGGGAGCCTCTGCAGAAAGTCTGCACGCCTCTCGCTGCAGGGGCGGGGCATCTCATCGCCACGCCCCACTGACCATTGGCCACGCCCACACCACGCCCCCACTGCGGACGCTGGAGAGCGGACC